CCATAAAAAGTAGATATTTGGAAGGGCTGTGGCTTGTCATATCAGGAAGTGGTCATAAATTCCTCTCTGATCAGCATTAACTCAGGGCTATATAAAGAAAGCTGATAGCTCGAGACGATGCACTTCTAACCTACACCATCTTCACTTCCTTTCTGACGGCTCCGAAATCTTTTGTCTTACAATCAGTCGCTATGGTTCTTCAAGTAGCACTTTCAGCAGAGTCCATTCAGATTTTTTTCCCGATCTTGGCACCAATAATACGGCTACCCTACATTTTTAAACCTTCACAAGACCGAAGAGCTATATGAAGCCCACCTTTCGGCATCATGGACAGAGCTTGAGGCAGGCAAAAATAAAACAGACGGCAGCAATATCGCTCCAGCAATCCTCGAGACGACCTCACTAAAATAAAAAACCTCTGAGGAGCACCGGTCGACAGAGCAGTGGTGCTCGTCACCTTGATCGATGTCGTGACCATGTTAAAGAGTTCGCGCGAGAAAGTCATGACTCCTCAATCGAGGCCCTGACGGAAGATGCCGAAACACGGGGAGCAAAAAAAGACCATCAACCTCGTAAACGCTTGAATTTATCCTACAATTTGATGGATCAGAGCAGAAACTCGCTTCTACACGGTAATTTCTTCAAAATAGGTGGTGTAATCAGCGCATCCAAGCCAGGGTACAGCATCGTGGTGTGTGAAATACAGTATCAATCCCCCCTCCCATCGATCTCCTCCACTAAGGCAACCCTCGTTCTCCATCCTACCTCCCAAAGTCCTTAGCTTTCCCAGAGTTCCACCACCACTTTACCCAAACAATCTTTTGCCAGCAAGATCCTTGGCAAAAGACTGGGGATGATATATAGCACCTATGAAAGAGAAATCGGGAAAAGTCAACAATCGATGATCCGGAAAATACCATAGGACGCCCTGCCCAGTGACACCAGGCACGACCCTCTGATAGGGTTCGTCCAAGCAGCGAAAGCGCCATCATAAGTGGCACGTACGCGGCATCCGCACCATGACCCAGTTTATTCGATGTGGCTGTTCTGTAGCGAGACAAGTCAACTAGCCAGGAAATGTCCACAAGTAAGGTTACGCCCCGGATGTCCTGAACTGCATCTTCACTTTTCTATTGGTCTCTTCTCCACACTGTTTCATCATGTGTGCTAGTAGATCTTTCCATGAATAGTGTAAAGTACCAGTTTCAGGATGAAAGCTGCTCTCTTCCTGCTTCTCATTGGTGCAACAGTGACAGTCTTGTGCCATGAAAAGCGTCGTTGCCATCGTCCCGTATGTCATACACCTCCACCAAAGCCGAGATTCCTGAAAAACGTTGACTTCAATGCTCGCGTAGAGTATTACGACATCATGTTCCAAATGGAACGAAACAATCGGCAAAATGGAAGAAGAAGTTGCTCAATGGGCAGAAAAGTATCAAGTTGTGGTGGGTTAAAAGGTTTCAGATCCATTCATTATTATTTTTTGGTCAATATTTTTAAGCTTAAACCCTTTAAAACACACAGCAACATTACAAAGAGGACTAATGGTAAAATTCCTCTGATCACAAAAGAGAGAACGAAGAAAGAAGTAGAGGTCAGGGCACACCGGCGTTGGGATTCCCAACAGAATAGGTCGTACTTGTTCGCTGGGGGTCGTATTTGCTCGTTCTTGGTTGAGTTGGGAGAAGGAGGGGGTCGTATTCACCCTCTGACCCCTCTACCCGCTCCCGACAGCTCGATGTCAGATGAGGGAACTATGGAGGGGGAAGTCGTATCAAGCCACCTCCTAGGTAGGGGGGGGGTTGCATGGACTCGGCCAAAATCCCCAACAAATGATTTGCCCTGCTTCGGAAACACTTAAGGTGTTTAAAGTCTGGATCGGCAACAGCTCATTTCCCAATAGCAAATACCAGAAGGGGGACAGATTGGTGGAAAATGAACTGGCATTATGCCAAAGTCACGTCCCATTGACCGCCCCGTAGATTTGGCTGTTGAGGACTACATCAATATTGTGACTGCTGCTACCTTTACTCCTGTGTATCACCTAGCCTCCCTTTGAATCTTTAGTTGTCCGAGATGACGCTAGTACCACGTTTAGTTCCACGTTTAATGCAATTGGAATTGAATGCAAACGGGTTACATGCGCGGCATTCGCTCCAGGACCTCATTGGTTCAACGCGGTATTGGTGCTGTGTGACAAGTCAATTCAACTAGACAGGGAACACTACAAGCTTTTGCCACAATATTATAGTCATTATTACTACAATTATTATTAGATAGTCATTGATAATTTAGTGACATATAAATAGTTCCCTCTCACTTCAGGACCAACTTGAGGAGTTCAACAATGAGACAGAGCAGTTTCCGAGAAGAGTTGAAACACAACGTCACAACTCTTGTAGGCTCGAGCTTCCCGAAAGCTATCGAGAAATTTCTGAATATAACCCAGAACAAGGAATGTGACGCGTCAAGGAAATGACGAGACTTCGGAGGTTAGAGTACGTAGCCACGTTCCTCAATTAGGATCCTTCTAAAAGAAGCGGTTCAGCTTTTCGGTGTGGTGAAGTCTGCTTTCATGGCGTTCAGACCACACCATTGTCCTCACTATCGTCATCATGATCGCCATCACGATTCTTATGGAGGCTGCCGAAGAGGTTTGAAGACGTATTGGTGGATGAATCGCAATATGGTCAGAACCTCGAAGAGGACTTTGACCCTATCGAAGAACTAAAAATAATGAGAGGATTGAATGTCTTTGACATGTTTTGAAGTTCTGAATAAAGTTTTTCCCTAAAGAGGCCTCTCTAGGAACTACGATAGGAACATCATTAGAAATTTGAAAAGTTTCCAAATCCTAAAAGGCAAATTCGAAGAAAATTCGAAGACGCCGTACATGCTTAACCTAGCGGTGCTTACGGCCTCACTGGACAACACTTGCTATTTCCACGTAATTGCAGCTATATTTCGAGATCACTCATAGGAAGCAAGGCTCGGACACGGCCAGTGGGATATGTAACCAGACAACCGTGAACCGCCGAGCTGTGGGGCGTTGCCAGCGATTTCCTCTGCCGCGTGCGACAACTGAATAGTTCCGATTGCATAAACGGGTACGTGGCAAGAGAATCGTAATTCGCGCGCGCTACTGCCATCACGGCGACTTCTGGTTCATTCTACTAGTATTGGTCGCAGACGGACAATTTTAGTGACCAAAAATAGACGTAAGTGTCTACCATATCCTTGTCTACATAGAATCCGATGCTCCAATCGAAAGGGTAGTGCAACTTGGGAAAATGTCGCGGTCCATGTGCGCGGCGATGCAGGCGTAATTTACGATATCTCTTGCTCGTCCACCTACATAACGATATCTCTGTCAATATTCTGCTCCGATGTCAGCTATTTCTCACTAGTAAAGTACTTGAACAGAGAAGAGCATGAGCTATGAATGTTAGCTTTAATGTCACTGCGAACACCGTGTCCGACCTCACTTCCGCACGAGGCGGCGCGCACTGCGGCGCGGCACGAATCACCATACTCTCGACCATCTCACCAGGTAGCACGTGTCCCACATGATTACCTTGTGCTAGTTTGGCGTCAGAATACGGCTAGATAGAGTCATTACGGCGCTGGTGCTGGGGTGCTTAATGGATTCACCTGAGTCCAAGTCACGAGTGACCGCTTCCAGTATCTACCGGTTGCTCGCTCGGGTGCCCTTGACAGGGCCCCCTATTTAGCATTTCCTCAACGAGTCCATACGAATTTTTGCCTTCTGTTCAGCAGCAACTGCAGCAAGCCGACTGTTATTTGTGGCGTTTCTAACGTATTCCTCTGTTTTTCTTCAATAATTCTTCTAGCATCCACACTTTTATTGTTTTCCAACCCCGTTATCCCCCTCCCCCCACTGCAACCACCTGGGATGCGCCTTTCGAAGCACCTTCCGGTTCGCTGGGGAATTCCTCTCCATCCGCGAACAAGTAGAATGGTTCACACGGGCAACGACAGTACCACATTCGCGGCGCAAGAACGGAGTGACGCCATGCCGGCCATGCCGTCGTTGCTCTCACTGACTCCACTCACCTTCACTGCTCCCACCCACCACACTGTGTGTAGGGCGGGCCACAATAACGATGACTCGCAAAAAATACGTAGGTATGGGCATTTTTGTAATCAGAAATGAGCGCAAAATTGCGGAGGCCATATCGACGCATCACCATTGTCCACTGTTCCATTGGACCACGGCTCACTTGGCTATCACCTCATGGAAAGCTTTCTGGAGGGAGTCTTATTTCGAGTAGTATTTCGAGTATTTTCTTCACTACTGGGTCCTTCGAACCTTGGGTTCCCTTTTTCAGCCCGCTCACTCAAGATTCCTCTGTCCTCGACCTCTTTCTTCGAGCACGGTACCGTGCGAAGTTCTGCAAACAACTGCGAGTTTATAAAGACGCAAAAAATCTTGCAGCGTTCTGAGCAGTTTCTATCCTCTTCTATATATTCTTTTCTTTTTGCACGTGCACCATTTCGGCCAACGTTTTATGCTAATAGTGCGCTGGCGGTTTACATTACAGCGACTATGCGCCGTCAAGTCAGTCAATCATTTTTTTCACTCCGCCTACTCTCATGAACTACCAGTGATCTCACTTTGAAGGCTATAAGCATAGTCTATCTTGGCAGATGACATGAGTGAAATGATCAGTAACGAAGCGCGGTTCAGTCATTCGTTTTGGAATTGGACACGACTATTAAATCTACCCCTTGTGAGAAAGAATGTACTCTCTTTATCCCTGAGAAGGGGTAGGCGTAGCTTTCGAGGATGGCATAGGTAGGATTACTCGTGAGACATTTCAATTTGAAACAAAAAACTTCGTGTGTGTGTCTTTGTTTTGCCCACAAAGAGATGATAACAACTGTCCAAAAACCAAAATGTCTCACCAAAACCACAGCCGCCGCCACGTTCAGTTGAAATGCGCAACCACGCCTACCGCATCTCAGGGATTTTGGGTGTACGGCCTGGAAAAATTCCAGCTCCGTAATGAAAAAGTGAGTTTATAGAGTGCAGGAAAGTGGTCGACAAGAAAGAAATGGTTTGCCTTGCTTCCACCCATGTGAGCCTTTACTTTTTGCTGACCCTATGAAGCTGTTCATTAGCCTCTAAGGGATGACCCGCCTCCCTAGTGTGGTTGTCTGAAGAAGGAGGAAATGGGGATACAAACGATAGATCGACTTTTATTCCCCTCTTCGGTCCCATTCTTCGGAATTCAAGCTACATTTTAAACAAAA